GTGCAAAGAGAAGTACAAGCGTGTTGCTGTTGGAAAACAGGTGTGAAAGAGTGTGGATGTGCTTGTGAGTCCATGTGTGTAGATGGTGGTATCAGCATGGTGCTGTGTGTACGGGGAGAGGCTGGCTGTGTGTACTTGTGCAAAAATTGGCATGACTAATGGAATGTGCGAGTGTCAGAGTGAGTTTGTGTGTGTCTCGGGGTGACTGCATTGGTGTTGGCCTGCGTGTGCTTGTTGGCGTAACTGCTTCTGTTGGTGTGTGTTTGTGTGTGTGTGTATGTACACGCGCACGCACCTGTTGAGGTGAAGGTGGCAGCGCAGAGCTGTATGTGTGCATGGGTGACCCTGTGCCTATGTGACTTTGAGCCTGTGGGTCCACATAGGTGACTGCCCTCGGAGGATGGCCAAGTGTGGGTGTGTGGCGATGTCAGCTGTGGCTGCAGGGGCAGCTGGATGAGGGTCTGGAGATTTGAATGGGTGGAGAGTTGAGCTTCTCCATGAGGCTCTGCCTATCTGGGGTACCCCTGCTGTCCCTGCTGTAAACCTGTCAGGGCTGCCTGTGGTAGGCAGAGGCCCTGGACCCAGAGCTTTGGAGATGAGCGTCCCAGGAGTCTCTGACAATACAGGTACATTGGGGAGCTCATGGAGGGGCAGTGGCAGAGGTGTGGGCTGGGCGTTCCCAAGGCCATGGTGTGGGGCAGAGCAGAAGTCAGTTGTCTGGGTCTGAGTGGGTGGCCAGAGCAGCCAGTTGGAGGAGGGAAGGGGGTCCTGCCCCTTCCATAGTGCCCTGCCACCCCACAGGGTTCATCCACACAGACCCAGGTCAACCACTAAGCCCTTAGGAGCTGTTAGGGTCTCAAATAAGCCCCCGGAACCACCCAGGGCAGCCACACAAAGTGCTCAGCCCTGCCCAGCCTGGGCACTAGGCCAGCTTGGCAGGTAAAAGCACAAGCCCTGAGCTCAGACTGGCCCAGTTCACAGCTTGGTCACTGAGCACCCTGGAACAAACGCTTTCACCTCTCTGTGCCTTTGTGGCCTCGTGTATGAATTAGGGAAGTGACAGTAGTGCCTCCCTTACCACCATGAGAGGACTAGAGGTGAACGTGCAGGTGGAGCCCTTGTCCCCACACCTGGCACAAAGTAAGTGCTCAATAAATGAGGGGTTGTTTCCTGCCCCGCCCTACTTCCCCTTTGGGCTTCCATCCCCTGGTGTCCTGGGGCTGGCTGCCCAAATGCCTATGACACATCCATAGGCCAGCTCCACCCCAGTGTTCCCTGGCACAAATGCTCCTCCTCCCTCCCTGTGTTCCTCCCTGGCAAACACAGGCGCCCATCCTATGCTGGCCCTGAGCCTGCCTGCTTCCGTCCATCATTCAGCCCTCACCATGAAGGGCTTAGTTAGGGAGTCAAGCAACTTGATGGCTCTAATTTTCACTAAGGTGTAGTGAGTAAGAAATAGAGTATACTCTACCAAGGCAGACACAAGTTCAAAAGGGAAGGTTCCCAAAGCCTCCAGCCAACTGTGTGGCCAGGGAAGAAGGGACAGGTTCTCTGGACTTCAGCCGGATTTTCATTCTGTTCTTTTTTTCCCCACAAAGCCTCTTACTGGGGTGGATTTGTGCTCAAATCTAGGCAGGGCTGTTTTCTAGCTTCGCGACTCAGAGCGCGTTGCTGCCCCTTCCTGAGCCCTCAGTGTTCTCATCCGAGACATGGGGCAAACAATGCCTACTGATGGCCAGGCATGGGGCCCAAGACCCCAGAGGTCCCAAGCAAAAGCAGAGCTCCATGGGGCTGATGGCCAGTCCTGCCTGGGAACAGAGGCAGGAGGCGATGAGGGACTGTCTCAACTTACCCAGTGTGCCTTATGCTTCAGGGGAGACCAGAGAGCATGGATCTTGGGACCTGCCTGACCCTCAGGGACCCTGTAGCGAAGTCCCGATTCCAGGCCCCATCTGTCCAGTGTGGGAACAGGACTGAGAGATCCTCCACCCTGCCTGCTTCCTGCCCGCTCTCTTCCCAGGGCAGTGACATCCGCCACAACTGGTCTTTGACCCCACATCCTGTCTCAGCCCTACCCGAAGCCCCCGTTTACAGAGACTAAGGTGTGCAGTCCGTGACCCTCCCAGCTATTTTACAGGCAGGGAAACGGAGGCCCAGAGAAGGAAGTGACTTGTCTGAGACCTCCCAGAGCCAGGGCAAGGCTCTGCCCACCCAGCAAGGTGTCATACACAAGTGCACGCTTTGTGTGTGGAATTCAGAGGGAAAGATTTGTGTCAGCCTTATTTATTTTTCATATGGGCTCCAGCCACTGAAAGGTTTAGGGTTGTGTCATTGATTCACTCTGAGAACTTCCCCTAGAGTTCTGTGAGTGTTGGGCTCAGCCCCATGCTGGGCAGTGACCTTAGCCCCTGGCCCGACTCCCAAGGAGACCCAGGCTGGGGGAGGCAGAGCCAAACATGGAGGGATGTCCCCTGCCTCCAGGGTCAGGGCTAGGTGAGGGGCAGACAGAGACTGGAGGGTCCAAAGGGGCTGGCAAGGGCTTTGCCCAGGGCAGCAGAGCAAACTGCCCAGGGGAGGGGGCATTGGCAGTGGGTGTGGAGGGTCAGTGGGCGGAGGGTGTGCTGGGCAGTGGGTATAGCATAGTCTAGCAGTCAAACAAACCAGCTTGAAGTCAGTCTGACAGGGGTTCAAATCCCCTATCTGTATGGCCTGGGGCAAGTCCCTTCCTCATCTGGGGTCTCAGCTTACCCTTCTGTAGCATGGGCCTTCAATAATAGGCTTGACACATTCTAAATGCTTCATAACCCCCTGCTCACTTTATCCTAGTCCCCACCCATTGTCCAAACGTTGCCAGAAAAAGCTGTCAGAACCCCAATCATCTTTGTATCCGGATGGGGTGCTCACAGACCACCACGTCAAGGCTTCCATTTTGCAGAAGAGAAAATTGAGGCTAGGAAAGAGGACAGGGGTCATACAGCTGGGGTTTGGAGTCAGGTTTCTGGGATCCTTGCCCAGAGGTCAAGGTCAGGTCCCATAGACCCTGACTTAGGCCTGAGCTGCTGCCACCGTCCCCCTCCTCAAACCCCCCCCCCACCTCCTCCCCATTCCCCAGCTCAGTGTGGGATGGGAGGCTGGGTGATATCACATTGGGACAGGGGCCCTTCTAAGAATTTGCACTTTTAAGAACACACACACACACACACTCACACATTTTGCACCTCATCTCTAGGGTGAGCATGTAACCTAGATCAGATTCTGAGCTTGATCTAGAAGCCGCAAGCACAGCAGCTTTTATAACACACCCTTCTTTGGGAAGGAAGAGAAGTCAGAGGGGGATGCAGGAAAGCAGGCCTGGCAGGAGGGCCTGTTTAGAAGTAGGTTCAAATTCTGTGCTGTGTGGCCCGGGGAAAGTGTCTATCTCTCCGGGCTTCCTGCTGTGAAGACGGAGCAGGAGGATGAAGGGGGGCTGCCTGCCCACCCTGGGGGCATGGACAGGATCAGGGCTCAAACCACCAAAGACATATGAGTAAGTCAGATCAATGCCTGTGTTGGACTGGCCACCCAGCCCAGAATTAGGGGCAAAGGAGGGAGGTGCAACCTGGGTGTGGCAGAGAAGACTTCCTGAGCTGACCCCTTGACGGATGTGCCAGGGAGCAGTAGAGATGGGGAGGTGAAGGGGTGTGTGGCTTGTATCCTATAGACCTGAGTTTCTCAAACTGGGGGTGCAAGACTCTCAGGATAAACAAAAATGACTCAAAATTTGGGAAAAGTAGGGGACATTTTTATCAAAATGAATACAAGCCAGATGTGCAAGAATTTAAAAGGTTTAACCTGAGCCTCAGAAGAAAGTGGACTTTGAGGGGTAGCTGTCTTCTAGCCAAGCCCCCAAAGTCCAGGAGTAGTGGGGGTCTGAGTTTTTCAGTCCTTCGGGGTCTTGTTGTGAGACAGTCTGAGAACCACTCTCTTGGGCAACGGGAAACCATGGCAGGTTCTAGGCCGCGGGAGGACAAACATACACTTAGAGAGGTTCTCTGGCTGCCAGTGTGGGGGAGCAGAACCAGATGGGGATAGGCTGGGGGTAGGGCGATGGTCTAGGCCTAGAGTATGAGACCCCCTTTTAGTCTAACCCAGATCACAGGGAGGCTGAAACTGGGATGCAAAACTGAATGTGTGTTTCTGAGAAACATATCAGGACTCCTTTCCCCAAAGCTGTACTCTATTCCCCAAGAGTATTGGGGGACGTTCATTAAAATAAGCACAGCTCATCCCAGGACAAGGTAAGGATGTGAAAACCATATTAACAGGTAGCAACTGAGTGGTGCGTAATGTTGTTATTCCTGTTTTATACGTGAGGAAACAGGCCGGGAGACAGAGGACCCTTGTGAATGCGGGCGGGGGG